TCAACGGTTGATATAAACGACGCTTACCTTCGCTGCGTATTTATCTTACGACAACGTCAACAGCGAACAGCAACGTCGGCGGCAAGTTTATAAATCGACCTTTACGCTGATCACGATATCCAATATTTCCCATAGATACATCACTAACAAAATTTGTCAAACCATTCGCTCCAAAATTTTGATGATGTAACTTCTAAAGTTTGCTAAGTAAACCCGATTTAAAATATGTGAAATGAAATACCTCACAAATTTCGGCAAGGAAGTATTGTAATAAGCTCTATCTGGCGAACCACTACTTTCTTGTTTTCTCGACGTTTTATGACTTCTAGTGTGCGAAAAAATAGGTCTTCCGTGTTCACGTCTATCAACTGACTTGACCTGACCAGTTGATGTCACACTATCAAAAAACTGTACAAATCAACTTTTTAATTTATCTAAGGAATAGAATTTGTCTGATAGTACTTTAGTGAAATGTCATGGGTACAAGTCTTAAAAAGATTTAAAGCAACTTTAGAAGGTCCATGAATCTATTTGTTCTAAACTTACAATATTCTATTTTCAGAAAAGTAATATATGAGTAGTATAATTCGAGAAGCTTGAGAGTATCTGAATTTATAATAAGCTCTAGTGGTTGTTTCTTCATACTTTATACATAGTGTGCTTTTGTAAGCTCCGGACTAGAATATTCAAGTACGCTGTGTGCTTCAGCGATTCCACTATAAATTTTTAAATCGGCAAAAAAATCAGACAAGTTTTAATTTTGATTTCATTACAAATTTAGATATAAAATTTGATAATTTAACGTACTCTTCGCTTTGCAAAAATAATAATTCATCACGAAATTTGTGTCAACAGCACTCAATCAACTGTACCTACATTGTATACCTAAGTCATCATCTCAACACAGATGTTAATTAAAAAAAGTAATCGATATCTATGAGCCCCTTTTGTCAACTAATTTGGTTTATTTTTAAACCTGAAACTGAAGTGGACTTCAAATTTGGATTTAGGGTAAATCTACACACAGAAAAACAGTTTTCCAGCACACGAATTTAAAGAACTTGAACGCTAACATCTTTACCTTTAATAAAATAAATCACAATCGAAAAATTGTTGTCATATGTTTACACGGATAGAAAACGAACAACAATGTATTTACGTGGACCTCAGTCAACACGTAACCTAGTGCGACATCGGTAACACTGCGTCCGGATACCACATTTCCCCAAATTAGAGTATACTCATTTTTATTTTGATCCGCTGATCATTTAAAACGTAATAATTGTCAAAATAAATAAATATATCAACAGTACCAATTCTCGCACATTTGTCGTCAATTATTACACACGTAATTAGCAGCCAAGACGTGCGTGACTCGCCAATTTTATATAGCAACACTGAAAGTAACTATCACTCTACATTTCCCACATTTTTCAGTCATTAATATTTTTAACCTTTCGAAGCTATGACGAACGAACTTTTAGAACATGAAAATGCAAATCTCCTGTTTCTGTTTGTCCGTTATTTTATTAAAAAATCGATTACGCTGAAACTTTACAAGTGCTTCCAGATTAGTATATAAAGATAGTAAAAACTAATCAAAACTTGCCTGCTCATCCCCTCTGAAGAACTGATGACGTCATCTCAAAACAGTGTTAATTAATTGGCTGTTGAATTTAGTTTAAGTATAATACGAAATTTTGGTGTTACACTAATATAATACTATTATATTTTGCAATTTACAAATTTTTGTACTCATATATACTTATATTTTATAAGTAATTTTCATGGCGTCAATCAGGCATGGAAATTTTTAATTATGGTCGTGAAATGTTAGCACCCATTTAAAGTAAGCACATATTATTTTTAGCACGGAGATAGCCGTCAATCAATGCAAAACATGGCAAATAACAAAAAAGAATGGACAATTCTCCGAACAAATTATTTAATTTTTATCTATTGTCGGCAGTGTGAATTATAAGTCAAATACTTAATTTTTTATCACTTTAACTTTTACGAACGTCAGACATCATATTCACTTTTTTTATGTTAATTTGAACTTGTTTATATAACAACAAAGTATCACATTATATTTTGAATATTTTATGACATGATTTACAGGCAACTAAAACCTATTATTAGTGCTAATACTATTAATACATTCGACAATTTGGTGGATGCGCCGAATTCATATTATAACCTATTAAATAAATATATATTAACAGATTTAAGCGCTTTAGGAATTATGTAAATTGATTGCATATTTTTCAGTTTACCTTGAAATATTATATTTAATGATGAATAAATAATTATACACAAAGCATGGACGTTGTGAATTTTTGGACAAAATAATGATTCTGTTTTACGTCTTTATTTCTTCTTTATTCGGAACTTTTTACGTTGAGTACGTAATTAAGCACAGACATGCAATGTAGGTCACGATATTGACAGTGAATCGTATAATTACATAAATGATTTATGGCCAAATCTGTGAATTCAGCTGTAATACCTTGTGGGGTATGTCAAAAGTCGAATTAATTACCTTCACAAAACTACACTGGTTGTAATTTATACTATATATGTGTATGGTTGGGTGTAATTAGGCAGCGAAAAATCTTACGAGAATTTGGGTTATTTTTTTTATGTAATAAATTTCATTAAACGAACTGACATTATATAAGTGCTGCCATTGAGAAAATATTGTTGTTCTATATGGAATTATACTGACATTGACTGGAATGTAGCCAGTGAGATAACTAAAACAGATTAATGCGTTTTAATTATTTTATTCTTCAGTTTAATGGATAGTTAAGGTTTGAATGAAACTCGAGGCAGATACGATAAATATATAAACAAGGTAAAAATTTAATTGCCGTCGTTGTGTAAACAAACATTTGAAAAGTAAATAAAACTCTGATTTTTAGTAGTCTAGGTATTAAAAAATTAAAAAACTAAAACTGTTGTTGTGACCCCAAAAATGTTGATATCAAATTTTTATTAGTCAGTTTAATCACGTTACGTGTGTAATTATATCATTATTTATGGGTTGTTAAAAAAGTAGTGAAGGTGGAGTCGCTACTACAGTGGAGATTTTTTAATTTGCAGGTAACAATACTTACCTATTATACGTATAACGCTAATTATTTACGAGTGCATTTGTTGTTGATAACAGTGGAAACTTAGATAAGGATAATTGTTGTAAAAAAAAATCGGCGTCACCGTGTGTGTTTCTTGTTTCACAGGAACAATGACCATTGTTTTTCAAAATTGACACTTTTATTCCGTAAAATGTTATCTTGGGCATTCATAAATGTCGAAGATTTTAATTATCTACAAGATTAAGAATTGGAAAGTTTGTGTGCAAGTAATTACATGTTTCAAAAGAGTGAAATGTCAGTTGATGAAATCAAACGGCGTGTATGGTGTACACTTTTTTATTTTACGTATTGAGTTATTATTTTCTACGATAATTATGTTACATCTTTGTTTGAAAATGAGATTAAAATTTCTTTTCAAAGGAAATATTTCTAGTGTATTTTTAATGAGAATCAATTTATCAATTTCGTAGTAATGTAGTTGTGGTTTCAAAAATTTAGAGAAAGTAGATGGGTCATTTCTAAGCTTATTACTGAAATAATTTGGTTCAAATGGCAGATGACATAATTAACGTTAAATTGTAAAGGCCCATCCATAAACCACAAGTACTATGTAAAATTTTGAAGTGACGACATCAAATTGTTGGCGGCATAGTCAAATTTTGGTTAGCATTTTGCCATTTATACAATAATATCATAATCGATTAGCTGTTTTATGACGTTTGTATAAAACAGGGACTTAGCTGTTTTATGACGTTTGTATAAAAATTTGTTTAAATAAATTAACCTTTCAGTAATAAATTTGTATTATAAAAAATATTTTCAATAAACACTAATTAATTTTATGCGTCAAAACCAGGAAAACAGTTTTTAAATATAACACATACGTATATCGTGAACATAAAACCACAATTTTAACCTTAACGTGTTATTGAACTCTCAAACAAGCCAAAATCAATAGTTCGCGTATTTATTGATTAAGTAACGTTTTTTCTAAATTTGACATTCTTCCATAAGCGGTCTATTGTACGCAACTACTCTGCTTCATAATATCGAACACACGAACTTCAAAATTATATAACTTGAGCATGTGTATTTATTATTAATAACAAATTTCACGATACAATTACGCAAACTAGCTTCACCGTCAAAGATAAAAACAATATAAAGGTTAGCAAAACAAGCGCATATGAAATTTATTATTACGTCTCAAAAAAAACGGCATTGCTCAAGAGCGCTTTTTTTGTCTACAAGAATCGGTCCATTGCATTTCCGTAACCCCTTGTGTGTATACAAATCTTACGAGCAATTCTTTTAACCAATTAAATATTGCGTAACAAACAACAACTTTTTAAATGTAAAAAACCTGGCCAACATTGAAAAACTGGAACAAGATGCTTGAGGTACTTCTTACAAACATGTGAGGAAACCGTAAATGTTGCGAGATAATCTGTCTCAAATTGTACGATATTGTTTTCCGCGTACGAATAACTTTGCGATTTATGGCAACCTTAAGAACTTCTAAACAGGTGTTTTGCGGTTGTATCTCGAAAACCTTACAATTTAGGCCGAATTTAGTAATTCACGAATGAATGCAAATTGCCAGCTTTACGAGTATTCGAAAAAATCCTTCGATGTTAAGTTGAAGGTTCGTCATGTCGCCACATCCATCTAGTTCGCGCGTTCAAGTTCAAAATGCGTGGTTTTGCAGAAATTGTCAAAGCCTCATATGACTTGTTAACCACTCTCTACTTGCATAATTTTAGATTACCTTCTATTGCACACCTTTCTAAAATACCTACCGGTCTGTTTCTGGTTCAATCATGCTAGGTTTTTCTTTCACAACATCAAATGTCCTTTCAGTGGAAGTTTAGTGGGTGCAATGTGCAAGCAGCGGACGTTTTTCTTTAGTTTGACATCATTCTGTCGCATGATGCTTCTATTTTTAATATTACGTCTGATCATTAACAAACGTCAAATATGCGTTGACCATATTTTTGGTGGGGCAGGTAAAGTTCTTGAGAAGCGCCAACCTCGAGCGTCATATCTATCAATTTCTCCCACTCAGTATATAGGTAAGCCGGCTACCGTCTTTTAAAAACCCCCAGAACTCTTGCTAGTGGATTATTTTACCATTTAAGTTGGACTGTCGGTATCTTGTTTGTCCTCTACTGATAAGAACTAGTTCAGTGTTAGTGCAAGTTTGAGTCTGTGACACGATGGAGGTGAAGTACAAAATTAACTCACGTAAGTAGTTTTTGAAAATTTCACAAAAATTTGATTTAGTCGTGAAGGCAATTTTTCACATTAAAAAATAATTAAAGTTAAAATCACAATAGAAACCCTTATTAAGGGTAATTTCTAAAATGTTGGTGTTCTGTGCGGCCACAATTTTGATCTTGAACTGTCGAATTCGTCATTAATATTTATGCGGATAAGGCATCTTTAAACTTCCTTCCGTACATATTTAGCAAGCACACGTAACAAATCATAATGTCACCCACGTACGAGTTGCCCACGTTTGCTATTTGTTGCAGTTTGACGTACTTTACATCACGGTCACTTTGACAAAACCAAAATTTTCAAATTTTTAAAACCATACAAAAATGTTGATTCATTATTTCGACTTATTATTTCATTAACGCACTTAATTACCTCTCATAGAGATGCACGCACGTGTCATCTCGCTTCACTTTAATTCAAAGTCAAAATGGCCAAATACAGTCAAAATCTCTACCGGAAGAACAAACAAAACGTTAAATATTTAACACCGTCTTAAAACAACATACACAATTATCGAAATATCGTTTTATTAACTTTCATTGATAAGAATATTAACCACGATGACACTGCTAAGGTTAATCATTGACTAGTGTTGAACTTATCTGTTAGCATTGTTTCAGAGTTCACCAAAATATTGACATTTTAAATCAAACAAGCCGCTTTTTAGGAATTATGCCTAGGAAGTTAAGTCATTGCATTCGTGGAATAATGCATTTAAAGTCGGAGAAAATAATATATCATGGCTGTTTTGCCGATCTGACCCCCAATATCAAGGTATTTGCAACGTAATCTTGGCCAAGGAGAAGCACAAAATAACTTCGCTTCAGTCGGCCGACAGCAAAAAATCGCGCTTTTCTGGACATTTTTCATTTTTTGATTTATAAATCCGACTTATTCGCACGTTCAGAGCTAAAAGGACAACCAAGTGTAATATTTTTGTGGCGACGAATTTTTTGCAGCGATGTGTACATACATCTACAGCGGCTAATGAGACAGAAATGTATGACCAAGGTTTTTATGCAAATTTTTTATTTTAAATGTAATTTATTTAAAAAGCATTAATCAGCAAAATTAAAAAAATGGTTGCAATGTGATCAGAACAAAAATATTTATTATTATTATTATTATTCTTAACTTATACCATGTTTTGCACCAAAAAGTTGAAAAAAAAACAGTAATGAACTTGAACAATGGCTTTTGAACTTTGAATTGGTTATCAGACGTTACACAAGCATGGCATAATCATACAATAAATACAAGATGAGCACACATTACTTTGACATAACATTCAAAGATGGTGGTTATTTGATGTTATGTTGTGCCTAGGTAAACACAGCAATATTCTAAACGTCACAAGTTGGAAGATCGTCTTTATATTCATTTAAATTATGAAACTAGTATTAGAAGCTTACTTAAGTTTTACAATATACTCAAGTCGCCCTATGTAAATAAGTAAAATATAGTTCAATGTTTTACGCATTTTTAAAGTCAAGGCGAGTGAAATTTTTTACGCATAGTCGAAAACATCTGCTTACTTTTAAAACTGTGATAGTTTTCCTTGCCCTATAAAGAATTCAAAATCCAATCAAATTTGCATATAACCTGTACTTCCAAAGTAAACTTTACACTCGATCAAATTTTCCGGACTACCGTACAAACAAACACAAATTGACATTTCAAATGCAAATGCGCATAAAACTATTGACTTAACAATTATCATTTGATCATTAAATTCACTCAAACAATCCTTCCATCAAGGCAAAACCATGTCTTCGAAATGATAAGAAAATGAATCACATTTAGAATTAATTGCGCGAAAGGTCAAAAATTTCCGATAATATCCGCGAGCTATCTTTCACTAAAATGTGCGTTACCTCGCCTCACAATGAGCACTTACACGTAATAACATTGACCGAGTCATAAGCGTCGTCGTCCGACACAATAATTTTTAAGCCATTTCCTAATTATCAAGCGACCTTAACCAATATTTTATGGTAATGTTTGACACCCGACATTATATAATCTAGAAAGTACATTGACTCTGAGTGGCAATGAACTAAGATGATTTTTCGAGGAGACTTTCAATATCACTGACAATGGTTCTTTTGCAGGGCTTCTGATATTACTGATGTTAGGGACCATCATGACGTGCAGCGCCTTCCTGATGTTTGTGTACCACCCGCTGCAACTCATCATCAAGAAGGTGGCTACTTTAGCACCAGGTACAATTTTCACAAAACTGTGGTCAGCTCCACCATACAGTGTTTACATCGATACGTTCATCTTCAACGTAACGAACTCTGAAGAGTTTTTGGCGGGAAAAGAAAAACTGAAGGTGGTACAAGTGGGGCCTTATGTTTACCAGTAAGTTCACACTTGTAATCTAAACCTTACCTACAACGTCATTTTTAGAGAGATCTTATTAAACAATAATGCCACTTTCAACGAGGATGGAACCATGACATTTCAACCACGTCGGTATTTGAAATTTCAAAGAGAAATGTCCGTTGGAGACCCCAAAGAAGACAGAATCATATCTCCCAATATACCCTTGCTGGTAAGTAAACACGCACTAACCCAAGCAACCATAACCCATAACTCTTTAGGGTATAACTGCGTCCCTTGAAAACGACTTTTTTGCAAACTTAGCCGTCTCTGGAATAAGCAAAGCCCTGAACACTCAATCGTTCCTCAACCTTTCCGTTGCTGAGTACTTGTGGGGTTACGACGACCAGCTGGTCACCCTTGCCCACAAAGCAATCCCTTCATGGATCAACTTCGAGAGATTTGGAATCCTCGATAGGGTAAGTTGGTTGTAAGCAACACCAAACTAACCACTGATATAGCTAATGGCTTTAGATAACGCAAGCAACATAGTCACTCTTAACCTTCACCCAGACAAGGTTTCCGCCAGTCCCATCCTCACAGAAGCTGAAAGATTAGCCGTGTACCATATCCATCGCTGGAACGGATCTCCTGGGTTGAAACATTGGGGTTACATCGATAGTGACGAACCCGTCGCAACCAACAGCAGGTGTAACATGGTGGAAGGAGCTTTCGATGGTACCGTGTTTCCTCCAAACGTGGGCGAAAACACAACCCTCAAAATGTACAGACGTGCCTTTTGCCGGCCCGTCCCGTTTAACTATAAGGAACCCATACAAACTAAAACTGGACACAGTGGGTTGATTTTCGAAGTGGATCCTTTATTTTTGGCAACGCCTAAAGAGAATCCGGAAAATTCGTGTTACTGTGTTAAAGGGAAGTGTCCTTTGAAAGGATTGGGTTCTTTGTCTCCTTGCTACTACGATATTCCTATAATGATATCGCAACCGCACTTTTATAACGCTCATCCCGTTCTACTGCAACAGATTGAAGGGATGCAACCTAATAAAGAAGATCACGATTCTTATTTCGTTCTACAGCCACAACTAGGTGTACCAATTGAGGCGAGTCTTAAGATACAAATTAATTTAGATATAGGTCAAACTAGATATAATGCTAAAACGGAACCTTTCAATGGTCTAGTTCTACCACTGTTTTGGTTGCAAATGAGGTTAGGTGATATTCCTCACGAAATAAATCTCTTGATTACGATACTATTTCAAGTACTACCTGTAATACAACAAATTTTAATCTACTTGCTAGGTTTATGTGGTCTAGGTTTAATGTCAGCTTCCGCTTTATTAGCTTTGTTTGTTTCAAGAGACGAAACAAACGGTAGGCTAAGTTTTAGAGGGGACTATAGCCCCATTCCTATAATTCCAATTAATTCACCTTACTTTAAACCAGATGTTAGAATATTAAAGTAATCTTTAGGTTAGATAATTTATGCCTGTGTAGTTATTAGCGTCCGTGACGTTTTAGAGACTGAATTATTTATGTTGTACATATCCCTGAAAGCTTAGTTCTAAGATTTTAAGATTAGCTCATGGTTTTTACTATTTTATAATAAACCTTTTTATGAAGTTTTGCCTTTTTATTTCTTCTCACCTGCACACAAGCTGGTTTCATGTAAATAATTGCGTGAAAGTTTTAAAGTTTGTTTTATTTAAGAATGGTTTGTACTCTTTTGTAATAAAGTTTTTATATACATTATATTTACAATGTTTGTTGCTTTCACAAACAATAATTACTATCACATCTGAGATCAGGTCAGTGTCAGTCAAGGTTACTACAGGCGAGTTTTTGATCTTATCCACGGTAGGTAATAAGATAATCGCGTGTAGACATCAGGAAATCCGGGTTTGGCACATCCAGAGCCAAACGAAGTTATTCCTGCTAGCATCCATCTGCCATCTCTCATCGCGCACTGGAGAGGACCTCCGGAATCTCCCTGAAAAAAAGATTATCAGTGGAAGAGTCAGCTTTTGATATGTGGAATGCATAAAGCCGGCATTTAGAACACAAACAGGAAATTTTAATTCGATACGTGTTATCTAATGTTGTCTTTTGAATATGTAATAGTAAATAGATAACAACGTTAATGACCGTCGTCGAAATTTCAATGGTGATTAATGACATTACAAGAGACACCATTTCGGTTTTTGATACGAATTATCATCTTGTTACAAAATAGACTAAATATAGCCACAAGTTCAAACAAAATTAAGTTCTATTAATACCACTACATTTATTAGAGACAGCACTGTGTTTTGGCTATGACGTCATGGTCACTTTTTTATTTACATTTTTGATTAGTACTTTGCACAATTTTTCCAGTAAAGGTGTGTCTTTTGAATGTTATACAGGGTGTCACAGGTTACCATTCCACGACTTAAATGGCCCCAATAATTTTTCTTTTTAATTTTAGACCTTCACAGTGTGCTATAATGAAGTGAAGTTTTAAAAATTTCCATAATTTTGAATTAGCAATTTTTTTAGATATGAAATTCACATAACACACCGTTCTTTATTGTCTATTATGTCACATCACTTAAGTTTCTATTAGATTATAATTTGCACTATAAAATAACGGGTTTGAACGTCACTCTTCCTTATGTTAAAATTTTCCGATAACTGATGAACTTTAAAGCAGTACTCGCTAATGAATAATGAAACTATATTATGCAAATGACAATAAAGTAAAAAATATTAGTGAAAGGTAACACAAGACAAACAATAGAAATATTATTTCTTGATATTTATTCTGTCTTGTAAAGGGTTAACAGTCTTCAAGGGAATGAAAAATGATGAATTTAAAAAAATATGGAACTTTACGACAACCGTCAACGCTAATTCAGTTTTAATCACGATTGTTTACACAAAAGGAAAAACAACTACTTCCATTGTCAGTACTCATGAATTAAAGATTATCATATCGATAAAATAGCCGTTTTTAGCAAACTTAAAAATGAGAAAGTAAATGCATAAACACATAAACAAAAGCGGTCAGTGTTCATGAAAAAAAAGTGGACACCGAGAACACTAATGAATTCATCTTAGAAAGTAAAGGTCCTAAATTCTATTTAACAAGCTCTACAGAATATTAAAACAAAAACAGAAAATTGAAATAAACGTAAAATTAAAAGTAGCAAGTGAGAGGAAATTAGAATGTCATTCATTCAAAATCATATCTGATTATAACATGCATAATTACGTACTGATGTTCTATATTCTAAGTCCATGACACAAAATAAGCGTACTTTGTTACTTGAAGTAAAAACGCGAAATGAGTTCAAAAAATGGCCAGGTGTTAGCTAACAGCAGTTTAAAAATTGTATGATTACTGATTAAGTGATTAATCAAAGTTCAGATTTTCTATAATTCTGTTAAGTTCCTCAGAAAATTTATTGCAGAGCTTTCGACGTTTCGTCTACGGTCGTCAGGAGCGTCTTCAGCCATGAATGAAGTTGAAGATGGAGCTTTTCGGGTATTCAAATGATTTAAAGGTCCGAATACAGGAAAATAAATATTCTAGATTATATGTAGATAATCTTGTTTGAACTATTTAACACCTGAACTAATTTCTAAAGTAAGAGCCAAGGCTATTTTATACTAGAATCGCCCACGCAGATCACGTGAAAGGCGCATGAACTGCAATGCTAAAGTTCATTGAATCTACAGACTTCAAGTCACGTGTTTCTAACCAATGGTAACGCTAGGTGCGTTGTTCACGCGCTTACTACTGACTACCACACATTTTAAATAAACCACTTTGGAAATTATACAATTTAAAAATTCAAATCAGCATTCGGCGGAATTCATTCCACACATCTATCTTGAATTTTTAACTGTTGGTATTAATTAAGCCCTGTAGATTAAGTTATTAAAAAAGTTTCTTTTTAATATAACATCACTACGCCACAAACTAGTTTACCTCAGAACTTACACGTGTCAAGAACATGGCGAAAAATTGACGCTAATTTAACATTTATCCATTTTTTTATCACAAGGTGCATACTATTTTTATGATAAACAAACATGTGTCCACCTACTAATTAAAAAATACTCTCCACGTGTTGATAAAAAGAGTAATTATTGCGAGATTTAACTTCAGTTTTAGATACTACTTAACCTGCTATTAAACTTAGCTTTTATACCCATTATTTGCATAAATATCTTGTTTTTTTTTTAATGAATAATGCGCTTGTGTAATTTAATATCATTAATTGAATACCTTACTTAAAAATAAATTAATTTTTAAAACGTGCGTCACAAACTTGTTTACCCAGAAGTCCCCGAACTTACACGCATCAAAAGCATGCGAAAAGTCGACAATGATTTATGATAGTTTTATCCAATTTTTTGTCACAAGGCATATTAATTTTATAATAATAAATATGTGCCCACATACTGATTAAAATTAAATTGGACAAATAACTTCCACAAAAAATTTGTGTCTATTTATAGTAAAAAAATTGCCATCGTAAGACTAGACTCGATTTTTATATATAATTCAATTCTCTGTTAAACTTGGCTTTTATCGGCACAATTTCTCAATTAATACATGAAAAATAAAATCTCACACACCTGTTATAAAGCCGAAAACTTAAATATTGAAATTCTGTAAACGCCAATATTTTTAGCTTAAAACTAAGTTTGTTACATGGCGACGTAAACCTATATTTTTGTAAAACTTTTTTTAACTGATTTAATGGATTATAATGATAAAAAACATTTATCTGTGTTAACTGTACCTGATATCAATTATCTAAAGGAAGAAATACCATATGATCGAAAAAGTGCTCAAGTAGGCCACGAAATTTATATTTAAAATAATATTGGTAATACAGTTATTTGACACTTTATTTGTCAGATATTTCACAGCAACTGTCAAACAAAACAGCGAATGCATTAGTGTTGCCAACATCTTTATTTAAAAATAAATTCCATGGCCAACTAGAGGACTTTTTTTAGATCATATGATATATTCAGTTGCCATATACTGTCATGAAAAAAGTAAATAACATAATTCTTGTTTACAGCTGTCTATCTTATGTTTGTACTTTTTAAAAAACTCTTAACCTATTTCTTGGTACTCCGACAAAATAGCTTCAGGGCAAAATAGTTTCGACAAAACAATTTCACGACAAAATAGCTCCGTCAAAATAGCCCAAGATCTAAAAATCTCCACAAGTGAGCAAAAATATCACACACAAAAAATATGGTCTTTCAATAGTTCAATTTACTAAGGTATTTGGTCGATTTTCGTAAAACAATCAAAATTTTAGTTTGTTAATTTTTATCAAAAACCATGTCAAATCTGCACAGGTTACCAAAAATAACTACTTTGAAAATGCATAAAATTGTTGGTAAATTTGCATTTTCGTATTTTACATAAAAAGTATATTGTAAAAACATTACTACTTAATTATGACCTGACCTGCTTTGACTTGACTTTATTTGACTTGACTTGACCTGGCCTAACCTCTCTATGGTCTGAAATATATATTTTTTAATATTCCTGTCAATAAACAAATACCAAAATATACATCTTTAAAATAGTCCATTGGACGACTGACCACTTTTCTGTTTTCTCGGCGTTTCATGGCTCCTACAGTACGAAAGAATAGTCTCCTGTTTCCGTCTGTCTGTCTGTTTGTTTGCCGTCAGTCAGGATTTCTATTAAACAGATAGTCAACTTTTATATGTATATTAGGAATGTCGTGTAGATGGTAAAGCACTAATCAAAATTTGGCTAGTAGTCCCCACCAATAATACGATGACGTCATCATCAAAATTTACATTAGGAAATAAGTATATTATTTAAATTTTATAAAATCAGATACTCCTGCACATGTGGGTTATGAACCCGTGCTAAGTTTTTACCCTAGGCATCCAGATTTTTGGAAAAAAAACAATATTGTATAACGAGATTTTGCAATTTAACATTGAAACTGCAAAACCCAATGTTCTGAAATCTTGCGGACATTTTAAGAATATCGTAAGCATGGTAAATAGTTAATCAAAATTTTTATGGTTCTCCCCTGCAAAAAAATTAATGACGTCATCACAAAATTTTGCCGAAATAAATGTTATTTAAATTTGATAAAATAATAACATACTCCTGGTAGGTTATGAATCCGTGTTAGTGAATGGTTTAGAATCTCGCAAAGGTTTTAAGGTTAACATAACCATGGTAAATAGTAATGAAACTTTGTCTCCATCCTTCCCCCAAAATTGATGAGGTCATCGCCAAATTTTCGCCCATACATCCTACTAAAATTTGCAAAATATTTTTCTTATTCTTGTGGTTTATCAAGGGAGTAATTATTTTTTATTGTAGACGTTCTCAGAAAAAATGCTATAATTCAATTTTATCCAAAAATAACTTCTAGCAGTTGAATTCTACAAAAACGTGTTTTAGCTAATTTTTAAAGGTGGTCGAAAAATGATCAAAAATTTGGTACTAAAAACTTGAGCTTTTGGAAAAATGAACTAAAAAACCATAAAAAGTTCTGTGATATGGATCCCAACGCGCTGATTTGAAAAAGATAACCCTTTTATGGTTCCAACAAAATTTTTGAAATATCCCGCTGGAACGTCAGTTTTTTTAAAAACCCCAAAATTTCCAACATTTTGATTGGCGATTCCGGAAAAGTAGAAGGACTTTTCGATGAAATGAAGCTGAAAATAACTTGTGCGGATAGAGATTTACAAGAAAATAAGTTGGTTAGCTTTCCAACGTGGTCGAAAAATAAAATTACGTCATATAAATTATGGTTAGTTTTTTACTCTACATGATATCGTTAAAACATATCTCAAATTTCAAAACTGTTAAATCAGTAGTTTCAAAGTAAAAAAACGTCAATGGACTACAGAGAGCAGTCAGACGAAATGGGAGAACTACTTTTTCATATTCTAAGATTTATGGAACGTCGGAAAAACATAAAATTACATTATGCTCTGGAATTAAAGAGAAATGTAATACAAAAATACAAGTGAGTATGTGGCGACAAAACTAGCAACACTAAATTTGGGAAAAAGTGATATTCGATTAATACTGAACATTTGATCTGCAATAGAGCCCTACTGCTTGGCCAGTTCGACGTCCAGATTCAACGACCTTAGATTTCTTTTTGTGGTGACACATAAAAGATATGGCGTATTTGGAATTCTTGCGTGAGTTAGTATATTAAAAAAATGAATTAGACATACAACAAATCACGAACTAATAAGAAGTTTTGTATTAATGTAAAGAACGAAAAATACACGTTGCCATAAAAAATATAGGTTTACTTCCCCTTTCAAGCTAAAAACAACCGCGTTTACAGAATTTCAAACGTTCCTGGACACCTGTTCCACCAGTTATTTTTTTTTTTTAGCACAAATTACTCTTTAGAACTTAAATTTTTCTAAATGCCCGCCTTTTTTCAAATAAACCAAAACCAAACATTACAACACAAGTTCCACTGGACCCATCCAGATGCCCTGCACACATATGCCCCGACCGAATGGCCACCGCATGTCCGTATTTCTTCCGGCAGACAGCGTTATCGTGGAGCGGAACTCTCGCCTCCAGCAGTTTCCCTGCCAGCATTCCGTCTTCGACATCCCTGCCCCATCCGGTAGCGATGCACAGGTCGGTTTGATTATATGTTAATCGGCTCGAAGGCAAACAAACGGCTCTGACTCTGCTATCTCTTGCTAATTTCACTGGTCGTGAGAGTTTCATTAATGCTGAGAACAATCACTATCAATATCCGCATCTCCGGACCAGTTCCACTTACCGATATCGTGTTGAAAATTGTGAAATCGCTCGTGCAGGATTATCTCCTCCACGGGAATTCGCTGCTCGGATTTTTCCTCCACGTCCCGGTCCCAGTCCCCGAGAACGGCCGTCCAGAGGGCGGCGAGGGGCAGGTTGAACAAGTCGCTGAAAAGTGACGTAGGTTTTACGTGCGTTTACGTCATAGGTTCATTCATGAAAATGCTGATTAGGTAGATGTGTTTGGTTAGTTGGTTAGAGAGATGGGCGAGGAGCTGGAGTCACAGTCATGTGAAGGAAAAGTTTGGAGTTTTAATTAATTTTTTAAAGAGGTGTTAACATGGAGGTTTTAATAAGTTGAATAATGAGATGTAATGGGGAACTGACGTCGTTACTACAATGAGGCAAAAACCGCGACATGACGCCCCCGCAATTGTTTTTCGGTGGGGAGGAGGCGGTTTTGTGGCGTATTTTTAGGACGGTTTAATTTAAAATTAAATTCATAGTTATTTCAACGAATAAGCGATTATTAAAAGGAGTTTTAATAATTTTTAATTTGTAATTTAATTTTGCCTTTACGTATATGTGAAATACGTATACACGGCGTCCCAACTGTTTGGCAGCTGAAGATTACAGATTCCCTGTGGATTACTGAAAAAAAATTTTGTTGTTATTTCCTAAGCGTTAGCTTTCTGTCTGTCTGTCTGTCTGGTGTCTGTATTCATCTTTATTAGATACGTAATTTCCAAAACTACCGGATCGATTGTTGTTAAATTTCATTTTCTTTTATGCGACCGCTGATGCTTGTACGTGATTATTAGAGAGCGGATTTCTAGGTTTAATGCTTTTTGTGAAAAATGTAAGCACTTCAAAACTTTTTTATATCTGTAACTATGATACAATTTGGAGTCATTTGACACATTTTTTTTTATGCTTATTTGCTTTTTTTTCAATTTTATGCATATTAAAACTTATATGCTTATTTAATGCTTTTTTCGACGAATATGAGTTTTAATGCATATTTTGTTCAAATGCCGGCCTTCTCGGAATGACACATACTTGTTAGTTAGGCGTATCGTATCGTATGCATTTTACTTGGACTTGACCATTGAAGTACACTTACTCAAGACCCTTTCTGTGAATAGGTTCCGGTCGTTTGGGTAATAAAATTTTATTATAGGATTGGAAAAATACTCCATAGATTTTATGACTTTAAATCCTTACTTCCGTTGATAATGAATTAAAGCTTTTAACCAGATGTTCTTTTTCGGCATTTTGCGGCAAGATCGTTGAAGACTTTCTAGAAAAAAGAATTATTGTACCCAACTACCTACCTTAAAATTTTTCTAATGGAAATTTTTAAGTAAATGAACCGTTTATTTCACAACCATCAGTCTATCGCATCTGTCGTAGTACAGTGTTATACGTGGTTCTCCCTTGTTACATGTTGAGTTCTTTTTGGTAATATTACTAAATTTTAAAAGAATGCCGAAAGTAAAATCGACGCCGGATGAGTGGATAAGGGATTTTCCAGAATTAAAATTAGAAAACAACAAAATATTCTGCAGTGAAAACCGTAAGCCCACTAATTTTTTTTATCTATTTTCCTTTGTTAATCCTGTATATGTACGTTGTTTTAGGTTCAAAGTGATAAAAAATATAACGTGACGCAACATGTCAGAACCACTCTTTATGTAGAAAGGAAGAAAATGTTTGAAGTTTTTAAAATTAAATAGCAGACCATACATTGCATCTACTTCCACAAAAGATGAGCAGTTTCAGTTTAATTTCGATTTATGTAAAATGATGATCCAGTCCAATATACCTTTAAAAAAGTTGGAGAAAGGCCCTCTTCAAGAATTCCTTGAAAAACACTGCAATCGACATATTCCGGTTGAAAGTACTCTCCGAAAAAATTATGTAGGCCCAGTGTTTCAGCAAGTTTACAACGAAATTAAACATCGCATTGGAGATAATTATTTATGGTTCGCTGTCGATGAAACAACCGATAGTTGTGGAAGATACGTGGCAAGTTTAATTGTTGGAATCTTAAATGAAAATTTCCCTAGTCGAGGGTATGTAGTAAGTTTGAAAATGTTAGATAAAACAAATGGCAATACGATTACCAGATTTGTAAATGACAGTCTTGCGTCACTATTTTTGCCAAATGCCGCACCGGCGAATAAAATTTTATTGATGATCTCGGATGCAGCTCGTTATATGTTGAAAGCAGGGAATAATCTAAAAATATTGTACCCCAATTTAATTCACTCTACTTGCATTGCCCACGGTTTAAACAGAGTGGGCGAAGGAATACGTTTGCAGTTTCCTACTGTTAATAAATTAGTGGCAAATGGTAAAAAGATTTTTGTTAAAGCCCCACTAAGAGTGCAACATTTTAAGGAAAAATTTCCAAACATACCATTGCCCCCAGAGCCGATTATAACGAGGTGGGGAACATGGTTACAGGCCACATTTTATTATGACAAATATATCAAAGAATTTGAGGAAGGAGTTACGGAGTTTAGCGAAGATTCTTCTCAATCGATTAAAGATTGCATAAATATTTTGGAAAACAAAGATTTGCGACAAGATCTAGATTTGCTAAGAAGCAATTATCAATTCGTATGTGAGGTATTAGAAAAGTTAGAAAAACCCAACATGTTGTTGGTAGATGCCATAAACTTAGTGAAAGAATTTAAACAACAAGCAAACGCAGTAAGGGGTGATATTGGTACTAGAGTATCTCAAAAACTTGACGAAGTGTTAAATAAAAATGCAGGTTTCGGTGTTCTTTCCGACGTTGCTCGTGTTTTACAAGGCCAGAAGATGGAAAATTTGGAGTTAGATTCAACATTAGTTGCAAAATTCAAATTTGCGCCAACAACGAGTGTGGATGTTGAACGCACATTCTCCAATTTTAAACACATTTTAAATGGTCGGCGAAAAAATTTTACAGTGGACAACTTGGAACATATTACAATCAAACTGAAATACGTGTGTAAAATATAAAGTCTAGGATTATTGTAATAATATTTTATCCAAAGTTCTAAGAAGTGTTCTTTGATTTGTAATATGATTATGTTTTTAATGCTTTTTTGCTTAAAATAAAACTTTTTTAATGAAAGTGTTATGCTTATTTAATGCTTTTTTGCTTAAAATAAAGCTTTTTTATTGAAAATGTTGTGCTTATTTAAGCACTTATTCTTAATTTTTTTGTGCTTATAAATCCGCTCTCTAGTGATTATAGTGAAATATAAACATAAGCACAAGAGAGTTCATTTTCTCGTTGGTTATTTGTTTTAAATCAAATTTCTACCGATCGCACTTGTACGGACCATGAAAGTAACCAAATGGATTCTATTACGATACTTTTCTAATTTACGTTCCGAAAGTAAACATTCAGCTTTACTGTATAAGTTAAACGCAACACTCTATATGTTTGACCAAACTTTTAAATTATAGCTCTATTAGACTGCATTGAAGAATTTTTTCTAGAGGCTACAGCCAGTAGTTTAATTTTCCGCCCTTTGATTGTTGGCACACTCCATATGAATCTATTTTACATGAGTATTTTGGCAGAAATGGTGAAAACATTTGAATGCTGTGTTGTGTCATTAATTCATTATCTGTCGAAATAAAATATTTTCGAAAGACATATTTAAATCAAGTTCACTAATTTGTTTTTGGCAAATTGTATCTAAAATTCGTAATTTTTTATTCGTCCGGACAGCGCGAAAACTATGTTCTGCTGATGAATAATGTTGCAGTATTTTAATTAAGATTCATTTCCTGTGCGATGCATCGATGAAAAAAAACTCTGCAAAAAATGTCTGATAAGATGCCGGCGAGAATTTTTTGTTCATTTTTCGTGTTACGCAGTTAAGGCGCTCTTTCGGTTTTAACTTTGTGCAGTGCGTGTGTTGTGTGTGAATTCGTTTGATTAAGTGGTTTATTTTTGTTAAAAATAATTTAGTTTCGGGCTTAAAGTGAAAAGTGATTGTTGTGATGTGCCCATGAGGGAGTCTACAAGAATCGGCGCGGAAGGAAAGGAAATCGGGATTTAAAGGGTAAGTGTTAATATAAAAAGTCGGATGTTAAGAGAGAAGTATCTAGTTGCATTGTACAAATCGTTGCTTAACGACTTAATAAATGTTTGTTTCAACGAGAACTCAAACATTAATATCTCGTCAGATATTCATTCTTTAAAACTGGCCTTTTCGGCTGAAGTACCTAATTTGGAATATTAGAATGTTAATTATTTAAAATTAAATCCAATTTTCATGTTTATCTCATTACGTCTGTATGTTTTACGTATAACTGTAGTTAATAATCTTATTCATTGCAATTATCGTTACTGTTTTTTTAAATTTCATAATTGGACATTTTTGGATTTGGGACATACTTAACTGCAACTGATATAAGTTCACTAAATCGGCAAAACGTTTCAAACAATCATTTTAATTGAACATAGTGGTCTTCCATGTTTGAGTTTACTGGATTTATTCGGAAGTCTTTACTGAAATTTCGGTTAAATTAACTTTAGAATGCTCTTAATTTCCGAACGTAGTGTAGCAGGATTATTTTTATTAAATTTTCTTTTCTTGTTTTCTAAATATCTCTACTTTATGGAGTGAAAATATCGATTTTCCGTTTCCGTCAATCTGTTTGTTAGCGAATTTTTAGGCAAATATTCTCCGAAACCCTTTTTTTTGGGTGTAACCAAATATTTCATGTGTTTTTTGTTGCAGTGGGTTCGTACATGAAGATGAGGGAATTCGCTCAATTGTAGCAGAAGAAGAAGCCTAAAGGTTAGAATTTTGAATTAATTTTAAATTGGGTGTTCTTTTTATATTTTATGAAAGCTATTTTTGTCGGTAATTTTGTCTAATTTTTACTTTATCAAAAATTTTTTGACGTCTTTTTGTTACATATTTTGTAAGTATTTTATTGTGTTTTTATGCACTCTCCTCCTTATGTGCGTGTGTTCGTTCAAACAATTCGATTTTTCGTGCCGGAGAAAAAAAATGATTTTTTTTCAATTTTTTTCCCAAGAAACGACTGGAGGCCTCATTTTAACCTCTTATTTAGAATGGCACGTAAGTAGATATAGGTTTTTAAAATTGAATACTAAATATTATCGAATTCTTTTTATTATACTTCATCTA